CAACGGTCGCCGATTTTGGAGGGTCCTGCAATATTTCTTCTTTCAACTATTTGCTGAGACAAGACGTATTATCCGATTCTTTTCGCAACTCTTTTATATCTCTTTTATATCTCTTTTGTATCTCAGTATAAGTATCATGATTTTTACTTACGACTAATGCAATTTGAAGAATTATGGTTGTCTAAGAAAAAGTTATCTTTACATGTGCATGTATTCTGTTTACATTCGCCGTTTGCTATACTTTGACACTGTACGTTATCCACACATCTTAGTCCAACAGCTGCAAATAAAATACAAGGAGTTTTATTTATACTCGAAAATAATTTTATCTTATAGTTAGTTCTTATATTATTACGTACGAATTTTTTGATAGATTCACTTTGAGTAGCCGAGTGACTATTTTTATTTTTATATATTTAAAATGCAGTTTTCTTCTCGGCAAAAAATGTTTTATATATAATTTTATATAACTAAACATATTTTATATACAATTAATAAAATTATATATAAAACATTTTTTTCCGATGTATTTATACACTTTCAATTAATAAAAGAACAGTTTTGATATCCATCAAATATTTATTAATTTTTATAGAACAAAAAATATATATACACGTTTTTTGTTGAGCCACCATCGCTTAATCTTAATTCTATACGTATATTCTATAAATATTTGTAATTAAAAAGTTTACTCTGTGACAAATAAACAAATTATATAATTATACAAAATTTCCGTAATATAATATATTAAGATTCATATGTTTTTATGGACATTGTAAATAACAAGTGAATTATAAAAAAATGTATTTATTTTATAAATATATATAATTATTTTCTTTTAGTTATACTTTAATTAATTGCAACAATAGTAAAAGATTGTAATAATATATTTTAACTCTTGGAAATTAATAAATTGTAAAAAATTTATGATATGTCTTACAATATAATCAGCAAAGAAAATGTAACAATGACAAGCACAAAGAGATTTATTAATGAGACTCGTATAATGTAACCAAACAATCGAATCAAATTAATTTTTAAACAACATAAACTATGGAAAATTTCAAAAATTACAAAATGTATGTGCGATATTATTGCAATTAATTGTGTTTGTTGATTTGTCCAAAACTACGTTTCTTGTTAAATCAACTTCTTTTTGCGTCATATTGCGATCTCAATTATCTTTCTTGAAAGATAAGTGGTAGTGATAATGATATATGTGTATATTAAACTCACTGGCAGTACACCTTGATTTGTCGAGGCTTGGTGTCGAGGCTTGGTGAGTAAAATGGATCGCACTGGCAAGTTTCTTGCCACCGGCAAAATGCATTGTCAATGCAATCGACATCTCTCTCGCATTTATCACCGATGAACGCGACAGTGTGTTCCGCTATTTATAAATTGAGAAAAAAAATTCTAATAATTCTGTTAATTATAAATTGAATAGCAGTGAATTTTCATTTGAAAATTAATTTCTAACGTGATTTGTTATCAGCAAATAAATGTTTTAATGATAATTGATTTAAAATAATACCTAAAAAGTATATAAAGAATATCTAAAAATATCTAAAAAGTATATATATATATATATAAAATATCTAAAAGATAGAATGTTTTTAAAAATTGAAATTTAAAGATTGTTTGAGAAACTAGGAATTTATCTTAAATGTACGAAAGATATTTAAAAGATCTAGACTTTTATAGGATGATTTAAGAGACATCCTTATTTTGAAATGTTCTTTGAGAGACGTTTTAACAAAAAGATTCAAAATCTATAGCTAAATCTATAGCTAAATCTCTCGAATTTTTTTACCACGTGAGATATAACGTTACTGATTTGCATCGAAATTCAAATCTCGCGTAATTCGAGTGCACTCACAATTCTGCTGAGAGAAGACGTAACCGGCGAGCGAGAAGAGAATAAGGGAGATGCAGACGAGAGTCGTCATTGGAATAGAGATCTGTGCTCAGGTGTTAACGTGGGGCACGTCCAGGTAACTGCCAGATATAGTGAGTTCGCGACGCACCTCACGCTATGAAATGTATATACGCCCTCGTCAGATAAACGTCTTATCTCTATATCTAGCGATATCCCGTTGAAGTGAATCAGAAGTTTCATTTATCGAGCAAAATGCGCTCATCATCGAATATTAAGAATGAAGAAAATCATCAATTTATTTCTAGTAAAAACACTTCTCTTTCATTTTTGATCGACGATTTATTTTGCTACTTGTAACAGAGAGAAGATAATTCGAGCTGTACTTGGGATGTACTTGGGATCACAATTGCGGTTTGTGAAACACCGTGTGACGTTGTCATTTCTCGATACTGCATTGTGTAAAATGGAAACAGAAAAACACGCCATGTCATCGATTTGTGAATTCGTGATCTGGCGATGGATCTAAAAGGCAATGAGAAGTCCTGCATTACACTGACATTGAAAGAAAATTGTTATAAAATATGTAAGCTGTATCATTATTATCATCGACAGCACTGTTTTTCACGGACTGGATCAAGTTTTCAAATCTCGTTTAGGTCTTCACATCACTTTTAGGTCATCACATCACTTTTTACTTTTAATATAACTGTATAAAAGCTATCACAAATAATAAGTAAATATATTACCAAATATTGCAGAAGCAGATAGATGTATACACAAAATATAAATAATATAGATTAATAAAGCAACAATTTAATATAAAAACTGATCAATTTATTCGGGACAAATACAAATAAGAAAATGGTCAAAATTACAAAATTTAATATATCTCCTTTATAGTTGCAATCACAACAAAAGACATGTTTTATGTGAGTTACAGCTGCTGCGATCTAATAGTTGCCATCTAATAAAATTCAATGTGTACTCTTGAACAACCTTACTCTATACTTTTTTTATAAAGAACTATAAACGTATCTAATTATTATTATTACCAACATTATAGCAGTTATGACTATAAAAAGTCTCCTTTATTATTTTACCACATAATTATAGTCACAAATACCAAACTCTTTTTTCTCGTCAGTGTACATATTGAGTTATTATTTATATACAACGAGATCAAAATAAAGATCTGAGAAATCTGAGATCATAGAAACAGCTAACATTATTATTTCGATTTCTACATTTTGGTAATAATTTCTTTTCTGGTGTCACTGTTAATTTGACAATGAAACGAAGAAAATAATGGAATAATAATAATGACGTAATTTGTTTAATTATGTGTTAAAACGATTGACCAAGCATTCATTCAACGACTGCTCGTGCCGCAATAACAATTCTGCTAATTCAACCTCATCGGATTCATTATCATTATAGTTACTATGTGAAACGTAGCCTTATACTCTCACTTACACTTTCGTGCGATATTTTTATACTTCTCGTTTAATTCACAATGGCGATTTGCATTGCAAGTCACATTTATCTCACTGTTAGCTTATAGAATGCTATGCGCTTTCGGAAATTGCAAGGAAATGAAGGAAGCAGCAAATACTTGTATACGAATATTTCACTTAACATGTCATTGAATCTCTATAAATAATACGCATAATATCACGTGTCAATATTTATAAATAATACATACATATTATGTGTGTGTGTGTATATATATATGTGTGTGTGTGTGTGTGTGTGTGTGTGTGTGTGTGTGTGTGTGTGTGTGTGTGTGTGTGTGTGTGTGTATATACATATATATATATAGAGTAAAGTATTAGCGTGAATGCAACGCTCGTAGATATTAATTGTTAACTTTCAGTTAATATTATAACAGCGAAAGCTATATTATATGTAGTTTCGTTTAAATCTAGTTTCATCTGGTTTCCATATATATAAGAATATATATAAGAATTGAAATTGATGTAGGAAAAAGACTGGAAATGATGAAGTAAACAAATTAATGAATACAAAAAATAAAATAAACGACGTAGTGAGTGGAGGAACAAAAAATGTGAAACAAAATTAAACTATAATTATAAGATATAGTAAAAAAAAAATAATATAGTGCAATATTAAAATAACTACAATTATAAAATACGATAAAATAATGTAGTGCACATAAAAAATGCTGAATGAACTCTTTGCAAACACAGAAAAAAAGTAATTTTGTTAAAATATTTTTAAAAACCTGCAAAAATTTTAATATTCTGACAACTAGTTTGAATGTGCTACATAATTATTTCTGTGATCTATAATTATTTTTAGATCTGTATTGAATTAAATTTTTAGATATATTTTAGCAAAATTATTTTCTCTATGTAATGCGAATAGAAATATTATAAAGTATTTGTCTAAAATTAAATTTGCTTCTACCAAGAAAATAATTATATTATAAAAAATGTGTTAGAAAAAAATTAAATTAATAACAAAGTATGTATGAAGATGGAATTCTGCTAAAATTCCGCGAATGGTTTGAAACATAAGACATTTGTTTTCATGTGCATAACGCAGATGTCTTTTGCTTCATGTTTCTATTTAAAAATAGATATTTCTAATTGTTTTTAAGAACTCTCATTTCTATTTGTATGATGTAATACATAACAAAACAATAATAATAATTTTACTGAAGTGCGAGTGATATTAAATATTAATTATGGAAGCAAATTATGAATAGAAAGTTGCATCTCAAAAGATATCAGTAATAACGTTGCTTACAAATTTAGATCTTTATATTTAAAATTAATATATTTAAAATAACAATAAAACAATAATAATAATACTAAAGTGTGAATATGTAACAATAAACAAACATAGAATTTCATACATTATAATAATATTGTAAAAGTAAAATAAATCAGATATTAATTTAAAAGTGAGAAACGATATAACAATGTTAACAAAGAAATTAAAGACAAGTCAACTAATAAGATACTCAGTATATGTAATAAAAAATTGTAATATTACATGATAATTAAAAAAAATGTAATAACTCTTCGTAACGTGATTATGTTATATAACAACAATTACAGATGCATACGATGTTTAAATGTATTTTTATAACTACTAGCGTGCTAAAATGCCGATCAGATTCATCGATGTCTGCGATCCGTTCAGAGCTGGAAGAAAATTAACTCTGTCATAGTGGGAGAGAACAGGCGTATAGAGAGGGACAAATACAGAAATGTGTTAGCGAGTGAGTGGTCGCGGGGTGAGAGACAGCAAAACGGGACGAGAAGGAGAACTTTGGTTCTTCGCATTCACGTTCACTAGTCGCGCGTGCGATGCCAACGCTCGATCGCAAACTAATCGCAGACCGACTTCCATGTCTGAGTCACTCGCTTACAGGTAGATTGAAGGCTTGGTGAGAGAGATAAGTTGCATCGAACTGGTTTCGAAAGAAAGAAAAGAGATGAAACCGGCCAACATGAGAATGTGTGTGCTATTGGTGCATGTGGTTCTTGTTGCGATCACGCTGGCGAACGGAGACAAGATCGGTGAGTATGCCTTTTTCTCTGGACAAATACAATTGATTTGCCTTGCTAATCTCTAAAAGCTCGCATGCCGCGCAATAGAATAAAGGATTTTCATCGCAAATTTTTCTCGCGAAACTTGGCAGCATGATTTTGAAGCATGTACAAATATTGGCACAATCACAGCGAACAAAGATAACGTTTGCACGTTGTATATAAATATTATGTAGAGTTCAAAATATTCGGGTGACCTTTTCTTTGAAGAATTCGCTCGGAATTTTCCTATCATGTGTCTTTAAGCTCTTTGTAACTCTAAATTAAATTAATTATAGTCGTGTAATTTGAAATATATTTTTTGCGAGAAAAAATATATTCTCAAATTTAGGTTTTTTCGCGCGGAACTATTAAACTAATTTAAATTATGATTGCAATTAATCTGAATAATGTTAAAAAGCGATAAATTCAAAATTTAGAAGAATACGAATTACTAAAAACAAACTGCTATGAATATTTTAAATATATTCCGAGTGACGTTTGGTAATTAATATTAAATATTTTATTAAAATAATTATATCAACATTAGTTAATGGAATTGATATTGTGAAGGTCGTTAATAAGTTTAATTAATAAGTTATAATTATTAATAAGTTTAATTATTCGGATTGAACTATATTACTTAAATTATTAATTAATAATAATTAAATTCCTTTATCTAATTACAAATCAGCTTCAAATTATACCTTATATAATTTTTAGCAACTTATAATGAGTATACTCAACAGTAGACTCAACTTATAACATTTAGATTATTCAAACATGATATTAAATATGCTGATCAACAGTTTATGGTACATGATGAATCACTTCTATAATATTTTTTTATCAAAAATTACCATTTCTGCTTATGTGCTTATCTGTAATACTCAACACATTTGCCTATTTAATAAGTGAAACATTCTACAGATAAAATATCCATATTTCTTGGGAGATATTTATATGTGCACAGTGCTTGTACTTTTTAATAAAAACTCTTTAATAAATTTATGTCGTAACAAAAAATTTTACCTTGACACGCGCATACTGTAATTATGTACACATATGTTTGATTATTAATTATAACATTAACATAACATCAATTTCGAATCTAACAAACGGTCGCAGGTTATTCACACATAAACACATTTTGCTATACCAAAACAGCTTTATTTATCTTGGCTGAAAGTTTTCCACTGTTTGCAAGTCCGCAAATTGGTTTGCGTATCTGGGACATTTTAAATACACCTTTGATTGAATCGGTCATTACTAAAAATATATTTGCGCGTTTTTTCAAATAAAAGATTGAAGAAACTTATCTATTTTTATTTAATTTTATTTGTAGAGCAAATTTGAAAATACACACTGATCAAAAAGACGCATTTCATTGTGTATTTTTATTATGCATCTTATTACGTAATCTATGACAATTTTTCTGGGATAGAAAACAAAAATAATACCTAATGCAATAATAATGAACTGGACAACAGTCTTTATCTCTCGGTGTCAAAAAAATATTTTTTGTTTGCGCTTTCTGAAAAGACCGATTCAATTGCAGATATACCTATCCCGTGTAGAAACACGTCAGATTGTAGGAATATGTCACTTCCGGGGGACGCTTTTTGTCAAAAAGGATATTGCATGTGTCCGAGGCTAGACAATGACGCTGAAGCTTGCTCTAGCATTAATACATCTATGCACGAGAATAAAACTTCAGGTGATATGATGAGAAAAACAAACTCAAATATATTAGAGTTCTTATCTTATCTTGTTGAATTTCCCGATTACATCTATAAGGTAATTCTCTTTTAGGTTCATTGCTTTATCGAAGATGCAAGCATGAACAAGACTGTCTTTTCGAGGGCGGAATTTGCAATTATACTATTAGCCAGTGCACTTGTTTAAAAAATTATGTACCGTCGAGCAACTTAAAAAGTTGCGTCCAAAGTAAGCAAAAAAATACAAAAATTTTTAATAAAAAGAGGAAGAGATCCTAAAATTTTTTTTTACTTTACTTTTAAATATTATTTAACATTTTTCAATTAATTATTGTATATAACTATATCTCTAGTAGTTTTAGTAGCTAATTAACGCTTATACAATTTCTTCAAACAGAGATCGACTCGTTCGAGGTTTCTTGCACAGATAAAAATCAATGTTTAGCGTTTTTGGCGAACACTACTTGCGAGAACAGTACATGCATTTGTATATCTGGTTATTATCACATAGACAACGCATGTTGGAAAATGGCCGGTAAGTGTTATAATAATGTCTATTTTTTACAAAATACTATTAAAAAAAAACTAAAAATTAACATATTTTTTATAAATCTTCTCCTCAAGTCGCGCGACAATTAGGTACGATACATTACTGAGAAAAATTGCCTTGATCAGCAAAAGAACCTTTAGATTGTTTTATCCCGAGATATTTGAAACAGTTATAATTTAATAGGCAGAATTGCTCGCAGTAAAATTTTTAATGAAGGAATTTCATAAAGTTTTAAATTCTATTAGATGTACAAATAAGTTTCCGCCGTTTGACAAAAGACGGCGCCACTAGCAAGCTATGGTTAAAATTGTCTGATGTAAAACATTATATCGTAAGGTTGGACATCTGTCAACAACATAACCTTGAAATACTAGCGATTTTGTATCAGCATCATATATTTTTTTTTGTTCGAAAATGCCGAGTTTTGAGCCGAATAAGCGTCATTTGCGGGAACTTTTGATTTACTTCTTTAATTTGAAGAAATCTGCAGCTGAGGCTCATCGATTGCTTGTAGAAGCATATGGTGAGGCTGCCTTAAGTGAGAGAAGTTGTCGTGAATGGTTTCAAAAATTTAAGAACGGTGAATTTGAAATCGAAGACAAAGAACGTAGTGGAAGGCCGAAAGTGTACGAAGACGCGGAATTGGAAGCATTATTGAATGAAGATTCGTGCCAAACGCAAAAAGAACTTGCACTTACATTAGGAGCGACTCAACAAGCAATTTGTACACCTAATAATTTTAATGAAACTTTGTATACATATATGTGTGTGTGTGTATATTCTTTGGAAAAATTTCTTTGAAATTTCTGTGAAAAAATATATAATTTGTGATCATCTAATCTAATATTTTTTTACATGTAATAAAAATTAACAATATTATTTGTACTAACAAAACACTACAGGTATGAATTAATCGCTTAATTAATTCATTAAAATAATTAGAGTTTTGTCAAAATCATTCTAAGCACACACGAAAAGAATAGTTTTGCTCAAATATCTAAAAGTTAGATACTAAAAATAATTTTGTTTGGCTATTAAAATAATTATGTAGAATACTCCAGCTGATCGTTAAAATGTTAAAACTTTCTGCATTGTCATCGCGCTTTTCTAAATATTTTGATGGTCTTATAACATTATTTTCAGATTTATATATTATTTGTATAGCTTAATAAAGAAAGAAATTCTTTTCGTGTAGGTACATATTTAAAGAGAAATAAAAAATAGTGAGTAAGCAATTGAGAGGAAAATAGCATTTTAGCTAGAAGAATATGATAAGAAAAATAAGTTATATGAACTAAGGAAGTAATATTAACTAATTGTAATAAATACAGTATGTTGATTGGGTTAAAATAATAATATAAAATAGTATTGTATTGATGAAATGTTATTAATACAAATTATAGTATCATAGTGTCATTATGACATAATAATTTATTTTAAAAAATATTTAAACAAAAAATCTATATAAAAAATTTATATAAGATCTATATAATTATACAATATATTGTAGTTGTTTTGCTATTTCAATACTAGGTACTTAATAATTTGTATAACTATTAAACTGTTTAACATTCAATTGTATTAACATATATATATAGTTTGACTAACAATTTCTATGCTACAAATTATACATTCCATATTTCTTATCCTGATTATATTTTCGTAATTCTCAATATCATTTTTACTTTTGTTCTTGCGTCTTACAAAGCCATTTGATGTCTCATTATATAGTCGCTGATACTATTTGGTTTTCTCTGAGTGTAATTACATTTGCAGGATACGCTGAACCGTGCACAAAAAATCAGGAGTGCTCGCACATCGAAGGTAATATCTGCACTGACAACAAAACATGCGGATGCGCGGCGGAAACAGTATTGAACACCAATGGCACGAAGTGTTTGACGGCCGCCAAAAAGATCCAGGACGAATGTACGGAGTCGGTACAGTGCACATTCGAGTTCTCGGCTTGCGTCAACAACGTGTGTCAGTGCAGAGAGGATTTTCATTACGAACGCGAAATGACGAGGTGTTTCCCCAACAAAGGTATTCGCAAGTTTTTAGCTAGCAGTTTCCCTGTATCGTAGCAATAGATTTTTAAAAATCTATAGTGAATAGTAAAGTATTCATACAGAGGAAATTTTTATACCAAAAGTTTTAAGTTTTGATAAAAAATAAGCATTAATATTAGCAATTTATTAAGAACGAATATAGTTTATGTTAATATAATTAAAAGTATTTCGCAAAAATAACTGTATTCATGATCTTAGAAGCTACATTTCTTAATTGTACGAATTGAATACTTTTGTGCATTCAAATAATACAATTTTTCATTTTCATGTCCTAGTAAATACTAATTAAAAGTAACTAAAAAAGTAACTAAATGTTATTAAAAGTAACATAACATTAATATTGTAATTTTACACTTAACAATATAAATATATGTTACATATTAGGTGTTGGAATTAATTCGTAGCGTTTTTAATGAAAGAATGTTATTTATTTCACATGAGCATTAAAAAATACATTAATGAAAGTACTTCCCATCACTTGTAAAACGCTACGAATTAATTCCAACACCTATAATATAATATATATGTTACATAATAGTTATATTGTTGAGTGTGAAATCATAAATGATGTTACATTATTTTTAGTTGATATGTTTATTGGATTATTATTAAAATAATATATTTTAATTGTTCACACATCTTTCAAATAAAATAATTTTAAGAAATATTCCAGCAGACCTATTCTGTAATTTTTAACGCAAATTTCGTTATCATTATAACGCCGCTGCTTTTTTATCATGATGAAAGAACTGCGCAGCTTTATAATGATAATGAAATTTGCGTTGAGAGTTACAGAATAGGCCTACAGGTAACAAGCTAACATTATTTGTCGTCAAAATAATATTTTCATGTCAAAATGACGACAAATAATGTCTGCTTATCGGGATACAATATATTTTAGTCCTAATTAATAAATTCTTAATTAATATTTAGTTTTTAAAAATAAACTGTTTTTACAAGATGTGTATCTTTGTATTCAATGTATTTCCCAGTGAGAGTTACCATCAGGAGAAGGAAGCGTATTATGTGTTAAAGAATTATAAAATTAATCGTTGTCATTGTTTTGCAGCAATCGGTAACGAGTGCGTGGACAATTACGAATGTTATCAGGCCGAAGATTACAAGAACGATCCGCCAGTCAAGTCTATGACGTGTGATTCAAACATATGCACATGTGCCGATAATTACATCTTGAATGTAGAAGACAAATGCATAAGCAAAAGCGCCGGTAAACAAAAGTGATTTAACATGTACCTTATGTAAAACGAGGAAATTAACAATTTTTTACTTGAAAGATGACATTTTGATTTTATTCTTGGAAAATTCTTGCTTAACATAATTTTCATTTACAGGCTCGTCTCTCATGATGTCCTTGTCGATACTTGTTTGTGTGATATCACTAACTGTACTTTCGTGAGACGCAAAGTATCAGTTCTCTGAAGACGTTGTTGAATAACGTATAAGTTAAGTTGAGTTCATGGAGTTGGATTTCAAATAATCATAAATATAATATTGTGCAAGCGCCAGAGAAATCTAATCTCAAGAGGAAAGAAACACAAGTAGGACCACTGTAGCTGAAGAAGCAATCTCGGTTTATTCGCAAATTATAATTACTCATGCTAATATTTGCGAGAATTTTTCTGAAGGATTCTTCTCTAAATTCTTCACGAGCAATAAAAATATTACGTTAACGTGCATCAATCTAATCAAACGGTGTCTCACAAAAGGATGCGTACAATTCCATGAATTCCTATGTACATATGTGAGAGTGACAGTTCGAGAGTGAAAAAGAGAAGCAGGAAACACGAAGAATGAAATAAATGGTATTGCTCAAGCTTCAATAATAGATTATAGCTTTATTGCATACAGATTTAGATGATCATACTTGCGATTAATCCGTAATGTATTTAAAATATATGGTAATATATTTAAACGATATACAATGTCGAAATACGCATAATAGCAATATCTTTTAAAGCGTAATGTAAAAATTGGCCGTATTCGTCACTTTTATTTTCGTCGTTAATCACCAAGGTTGTAATGTATTTTCCGTAACAGTTGCATAAAATTCGAGGGGAAAAACGGCGTAAAACATTATCAAGTGACGTTGTAATTACGCAGCAAAACATTCGCGACGAAGGCGAAAATTTAAACTAGACGCATCAACATATTTAAAGCCTTCCACTCGCGTGCTTTTAATTAACGCGATTATTAATATGCGGATGCTGATGTTCCATAGCGTTACTGCTTCTTAGAATGATGCCAACTGAATAGAATTCGTATGAGCGCAAAAGAAAACACTTAGTAAGTTGTTTGAAATCCTTATTTTTTTCATAAATTTCTCCTTTTTAGACCAGGCCACAAGAATATATGATATTCAAATAATTATTTATTTCACAATAATATTTTTCTTTTCAAATTTATTACTTCAATTTATAAAGTACCTGTATATATTATAATTTACAAGTATCTATGGCGTAGTTCTAAAAGTGCGAAAACCTCAAATTTTCAAAGCGCATATTGTACATACACATTTTGCATATTGTATAAAAATTTTATATTTTATGTACATAAATAACATAGAGATAGCTTTGAAATTTTGATTTTGCCTTTTCAGAATCAAAATTGAACGTTAAACTTCAGCATTCCTCTGCGTTTATCTGTAGTTAAACTTCAGCATTCCTCTACATTTATCTATAGTTAGTAGCGATATCTTATCGTACTATTTTAATGAAAATAATTTCAATGAAATTCACTGAATTTTCAGTAACTGTTAGTAAATATTTTATTACAAAACTACATATACATGATATAATATTTTATACGTTACATAGCAATATTATAAAACTCGCATGTAATTTCTTAAATATATTTTTCATACAAATCAAACGATTATATAAATCATATTCTTCTTCTTCTTCTTAATATATATTTCTTATACAAACGAAACAATTTGTCTGTCTTTTATATTCGTATAAATCTCTTGTTCGAATTTTTTAATTGTTCAAATAAATAATAGGTAATATTGTTGAGCATGTCTTATATATTAGGTGTTGGAATTAATTCGTAGCGTTTTACAAGTGATGGGAAGTACTTTCATTAATGTATTTTTTAATGCTCATGTGAAATAAATAACATTCTTTCATTAAAAAACGCTACGAATTAATTCCAACACCTAATATATTATTAAATTTGCAGAATACGATAATTATTAGTACAATTATACGATTCTGTCTCTTTTATATTTCCATTATTGTTATAAAATACATATATAATACCTAGGTAGCACACAATATTCATAGAACGTCTACGAATGTTCTATGAATATTTGTACATTTTTAAAACATTCTATAAATGTTTTAAGAAATTCTGTGCTGTATAAAAAAATCCATATAGTAAAATATTTTATTACAAAACCATACACATAAAATATTACATTTTATTATTATATTGTGATTATTATGTGCGTAATATCACATAGCATGCGGTTTGTTAAATATATTTCTTTATTCTGTTTTTTTTTATATTTATATAAATCTCTTATTTTTTATATAAATAGTTATAATACATCGTTTTATATAAACATATAAATGTATATCCAGACAACACAATAATGTTTTAAAAACATATTAAAAATAGTACAGTTCGGATTATAGCATCGGATATCTTTAAAATGTTCAAGATGTTTAATATTACTTTTCTAAATATCTCACAACTGTTAATTTTAAGTACAAAATGGATCTATTTAAAACAAATGGGCGAATTCAAGCAGCTATCACTTACTCGTCAAGCAATTAAATGATAGAGACTTCGCACGATTCGAATATTCAGATTTTTGAATTTTTATTTAGAAAATACTTCTTCTTCACGATTGTCGACGTCGAAGACAAATCATTCGAAGGAATGGCGGGAAGGTCGAGAAGCCAGTCGAGGAGGCCTCCAGTGAGGGAACTACGGAACATTGTACTGTCAATCGCTTTGCTTCGCTATGTGGAGTGCAGTCGCCGGCGCACATTGCCATCGCGAGCATCTATTTCGTTGACGTGTAACATTTATGTGTAACGCAGAATATCATAATCCTGAAAAAGAATATCGAGAGATACCGTGTATTGCGTATCAATAAGAAAATACAAGATGCAATATCGAAAAAGAAATGTGATAAAGAGAATATTTAAGACAATAATTAGTACAATAAAAATATATGCTTAAAAAACTAAACATCAATTTGTGAATGTAAAAATCGAACGGAATATTAAGTTATAACGAAATTAAATAAAAAATTCGAGAGATACTGTGAATATTACGTGCTGATGAGAAAATGTAAGTAATATTGTTAGAGAACTATGATAAAAATGTATTAAAGAGGATTTATTCTTTAGAAAAACTTAAGTAATATAAAAATATCAAATTGTATCAAAATCAAATAAAAGAATTGAGAGATATGAATATTATATGAATACTATATGTGATTAGAAAAAGCAGATTTAATATCGTGGAGGTAATATAGAAAAATCTAGAAAAAGATATAATTAAAAAAACAATTAATATAATGAAAATATTTAGGAAATATTAAAAATCTTATTGCAAGTGTAAACATTGAACTGAATATCATAACTTTGAAGACAAATATTAATTGTGATTAACATAACATTGTATAATTTTAAAGAAATATAATACCGTTTCTTTTTCCAAAACTGAACTATAGACTTTAGAAAATGAGTGGAAAAGTAAAAAAGTGAATAAAATAGCTAAATCACTTGGATTAGTAATAAAAAAAAGTAATTAAATGTAAGTACAGTTATTTTAAATAAAAAGTTTTTTTTAATGCTTTTTTTATCTCGTAAAAATATTTTTGACAGAACTTTTAAATATTTTGATTATTTTTCATTCTATTACATAACAATGAGTAAAATAATAAAAATATGTTAATGTTAAACAGAAATAAAACTTCGTTGAAACTCTCGAGATAAAAGAAATCTTCAGACAAATGAATATAAACGCAGTAATTAAAGCTTAATCTTACTATTTTTATGTTCTTCATATATATAAAGTTTATACGTTTCGACTCGGTTTAGAGTCTTCTTCAGCGAATAAGTATTTATATATTATATAATATATAATACTAATAACAGAAACTTCTCTTTCTCCAATATGTATAACCACTAAAGATTTATATACAGATTCAAGATATCATAATCCGTAAAATTATAAATTTGATTGAATTCTGCAACGTATATAATTGTAAATTGAGAAATCGCGGACTGTAAATATATATTCAATTAATCTAAATATAAACTGACTAATATGACTTACCATGAACGAAAACTTCATAAAAATGTGAAATTGAAATTACGTCAAACATTATATAACATATGTGATTCGTTCGAATATAAGAGAGACTAAATCTTTATATATACAAATAGAAAGTATCAGGGACAGGGACAAATACACAAATAAGTATACCTACATATACATCATAACGTTGTAGAAAAAATCTAATACATAATAAAAAATGATCATCTCTGTATATGTAGAGAAAACGCTTCTTTATATTTATTATGAGATACCGAGTTTATTTTGGGTAAATGCTAGAAATCTATCTAGCAGAATTTAAAAAAATAACAGGTTATTTTGAAGAGAATTTAATAAACTTTAAAATAATGTTATGTAAAATTTAATTCAAATTTTATTTTTTTTAAATAAATTTAAAAAATGTAAAGCAAATCGGAAAGTCAAAAATTGTGCTCCTAATATGAGATGTCCTGAGAAATCGATGATAAAATGCAAAGTATATCAATATTGCAATTAAAAAAAACTTTATTTAATGTTTCTAAAATACAAATAAATAGCCAGTGCGTGTGGAAAATGAGTATGCGATGCATTGTACTTAGCTGACTCGTTTTCGGGTAGTTGAAACCAAGCATCGTAGAAACAGGCACTCGATGTTTATTTCGATTGTCCTTTTTATTATTATACAATAATATTTATATTTCAGCAACAATTTTCACTATGATATAGGAGCATAGGTTATTTCATATTAGAAATACTTTGGATATTTCATATTACGATTTCACGCCTTACAGTTTTACGATCATCAAATCTAATTTCTGTAATTAAGCAATTCAATATATCATGTATTTTTCTATTAGTACGATCTTACTCTATCACCACATGAAGAATTTATTTCCAAATATTTACTTATTAAATAATAAACAAGATTTAAAAGCTCATCTCAACGAAACTTGAAGACATCCAAATTCTAAAATCTTTTTTTGCAACGATTACAGATATGATCTAATAATGAATTTTCTACTAAATAGTTTTCAATCCAAGAACAATAAAATCATGGTAGAACTAATAGATAGCGTTTATTAGTTTAACGAAAACGCTACTATCTTATATTAGATGCCTCATAATAGAGGGTTTTCTTCTATATTATTTAAAATTGAGAAATATGCATGATGCAAATATTCTGATTGCAAATTGAGACTATTACTTTAAATCTATATATGGAAAAATATATTAAATTATAATTATATTTCTTAATTCCACTTCATATAGTAAATATTTTCAATTAATATTTTCAAATTTTTGATTGTTAAACATCAAGTTGTAAGGAATTTAAAAGAAAGAATCGAAAGGTATCGCGTGAATATTACGTGAATATGATAAAGAAAAATAGATCTAATATTGTAGAAGAAATACAATAAAAAAGTATCGAAAATGTTTTTAAGCAATTAATATAATAAAAATTCTTGAAAAATATAAAAAAATCTTATTGTGAAAAGAAAGAATCGAGAAATATTGCATAAATACGTAATAAAGAAAAATAGATCTAATAACTATAAGAAAAACATGATAAAATATCAAAGAGGATGTTTTTAATAATCAATTATAGAAATATTTGAGAAATATAAAATCATTTTGCATACAAAAATCGAATCGAATCAAGTTATAGCGAACTCAAATATCAAAAGATACTGTGCGAAAAGTTATATTAAAGTAGAAAGAAAAAAAATCCGCGAAGCAGACATATTTAAAGAATATGTCTATTTAAAGAATATCTCTATAAAAAATTAATTCAATTAATTCTTTATTTAGAGTTTCATGCAATTATAAACATATAAATCTAGTTACACGATATTCTTAGTGAAAATTATGAGAATTAAAGCTGAAATTTTTATTTCAAGGATGCCCAAAGTGCCCAAAGATAAATAAAATTTATTATTGATCATTAGAGATTAATTGGGTCTCTCAAATAATTGCTAAGACGGATAAAGTGATTTTTATTTAATCGAACTGTTGCATTTTAATTTAGGAGAAATGACAAGCACGACTGTTTTAAAAATAGTATTTTTATGACCCAATAATCCTTTCCTCTCCTTCATGGAGAATCGCGAAGATCGCGAAGTCGTGGAGACCGGATCTACGCTCCTGGTTCTCACAGTTAGGTGAATGTCGAGTAGAACCGTTCATAATTAAAGAACAAAGGGGGGCCCGTTTCCTACGCTTGCCTGTTATTCGATTTAACAATGTATTTTGGAAGCGAGATTATTGCACATCGGATCTTCAATTAAGCTCGGAGTTGCATAAACTTCTTGCGTTATAATGCCGGACATTATTAAATCAACGTGGACCGATGCTTTAATTATGATATCAATTAACATCATTAATTAATTAAATTGTTAACGTAATTGATGTTACCGTGATTATCAAAAGGTAATTCGTTAAATTGCAACTTGATTTAATCATTCCATTTTATTCAAATCTTATTATTTAAATTTTCCATTTATTT